ACAAATAAAGACTTACTATGTATCCTGTAAACAGTGACCCTCAATCTGTAAAGCAGGGGTACTGTGACTTGAGATTGTCACAAGGAGATACAGAAGTTGTACTCACATACCCTAGAAAGTAGTGACGCCTGCAAAAAAGGAGGTAGATTAGGACTCCCAGCTACAGGTTCTGATTCTCTCAGATCTGCTCCATCTCACTCCACCCATTCCTCTTCTCAGCGATCTGTCAGCAGACCCGAGGGGGTTGGCACGTCTATTAGAGCAGAGGGTGGCATGAAGCCCACGGCCAGCACTGGCAGTACGCCTGCTTCCTCCAGTGATTCACTGAATTAATCACTCCTGGGCCTGAAGTTGCTCTTAGTAGCATTTCTCCCTCTAATATTGTTTCCAGTTAGTAATACATAACTTATTTTAAGTACCCTTAATGTACTAAAGGAAATATTTACACATTAAGACAGTTAGTGTTACCCAAAAGACATGTATTTAGATACCTGCTATCTGCAGGGCATCGTGCTAGGCAGTCATCTTACAAAGGGATCTCTGTAGTTTGATTTTCAAAAGCAAGACTCTCTCAGTCAGTCAAATTTGACTTACTTTATGAAATTCAGTTTACACAAAACTATCTAGGAATAAATAGGTTTCATTGAGTGAGGAATTATATGCTTAAAAGAAGCAAAAGAATGAAACTTGCTTGTAACATTAGCCTAAGGGATGGGTGAAAGTCTTACAGAGAAAATGAGTAGAAAGAAATCTGAAGCCAACGACTAGATTTGAAGCCTAGCTCCAACAGCTTTCCTGGTAGATGATCTCAGGCAAATGAACTTAACCTCTCTGTGCTCCCAATTCTTCATCCAAAAAAACAAAAGCTACAAGGGTACCCACTTCACAGAGTGGTCAGGCATTTTATGTCACACACTTAGAACAGTTCCTGGCACATGTTAGACTTCTCATGGGTGTGAACACATTATTATATCAGAAAATTACTCCATTGCTTCAGTATGAAAATCTGCAGTATTCCCCTTGGACTAATTCAACTCCAGGAGCTAGAAGAGCTTGCTGGATCACTACATCTAGTCCCAGAAAGCACTCCAAGCTTACAGGAAGGCCTGGCTGCAGGTGTGGCCTCCCTTTCACTTCCCCCAACAGTTACACAATAGAAGTCGACTCAGTATTTGTCCCTCTGCTTTTGCAGAATAAAATCAACATGTAGTGACAGTTGATAACCTTGTTTGTTGGATTTTCCTGATCTTAAATAGGGACTTAAATTTTTCTTTCTTTTTTCTTTTTTTAAAGAGAGATTTCTGTTATAGGGCACATGTGCTTTCTGCAGAAACAGAAAGACAGAAAGCAAGAAATCACTCCCCACCCCACCAAGGGGAATGGCCACATCACAATCCATTCTTCTCCACTCTCCTCCTGGGATTTTGGTTTGGCCAGGCATACACACACACCCAGTGTGAGTTTTCTTGTTTTGTTTTGTTTTTTTTTTTTTTTTTTTCTGGAGAGGTTTTTGCGATAGGGTGCGTGTGTTTGCCAGGAAGACACAGAGAGACAGAGAGACAGAAAGTGAGAAATCACCCCCCAGGGGAGATGGCCACGCCGCAATCCCTTCTCCTCCATTCTCTCGGGATCTTGGGCATGCATGCACACACACCTGACGTGAGTTTAAGCCACCAGGTCCGGGACTCAAACCACCGTCGACTACATGGGAGTTCAGTGACATAGCCATTACGCTAAATGCTGGTCTCTCCAGTGTGAATTTTAAGCTGTGGGGTCTGAGACTCGAACTGGGTCAACTAGGTGGGAGTCCAGTGATGTAACCACCATATCATCTGCTGGTCCCAAGGGGCTTACAGCTTTCAATAAAATGTATAATTTTCGTGACTCTGACATTTCAGCCTGCCATGATCTTGGCTCTGGGCTGCAATGGAGAAGTATGTGAAACAAAGATTTAAAGCTTGCTATCACCTCCACTTAGGCTGAGCACTCACAGGGAACAGAGTATACCTTGGACCTTGTGGAGTGACAAAGGTAGTGGCAGATACCGGTTCATTAACCTCTGATCTAGAAATGGACAGGGAAGATAGCTGATGCACATGAGTTTCCTGGCTAACTTCCCAAATTCCATTGCTCAGTGTTTCAAATGGGGAATAATTACTTGTATATTGTTAAGCCTGAGGTTTAATTTATGCCTCTTAGCAGCTAAAGATGCTTAGGACCAAGTGATCTGCTAATCATGGTAAGGATTCATCTTTGGCTACGCCGTCCCTAAACAGACCACTTTTAAAAAGGGAAGGGATATTTGTGGAGCCCAGGTTCCCAGTGTATGCACATGGGACCCTTGAAAATTGTGTGCATCTGAGTAGAGAGCCTCTTCTCCCTAGAAAGAGAGGGATATAACTTTTATTAGATTGTCCAAAGGGGTTTCAACCTAAAAAAGAAGAAGAAGAGGAAGAAGAAGAAGAAAAAGACAAAGAAGCAGTGGTGTGGAACGGGAGCTAGTGCACCAAGGTCTGGAGATCAAATTCAGCCTACCACCTGTTTGTGTATCGTCCACAAGTGAAAATGACTTTTACATTTTTAAGTGGTTAGGAAGAAAAAAAAAATCAAAAGAAGAGAATATTTCATGACATATGAAAATTATATGGCAGTCAGATTTCAGCTTTTCCTAGGAGCAGAGCCACATCCACTCAGGAATTGTCTTTGTCTGCTTCAGTGCTTCAAAGGCAGAGTCCTGTCATTGTGACAGGGAAACATGCGAATCACAACGTTTAAAATAGTTACACTCCGATCCTTAATTGGAAAAGTTTCCCAACCTCTGGTATACAAAATTAATTTCAAAAAACTTCCCTTTCTAGCTTGTTTTCTCATTCTCCCATTCTCTTTGTAAGGATGCATTACCTGTCCTGGAGAGATTTGTCTTTCCACTTTCCCATTTAGCTCATCTGCGTTGGGCAAATGCAAAAGAGCCAGACCAGATGAGATGCCTTCCCTACTAGGAATGTGAACTATTCCCACACAGACTCTGCAGTCTAGCAGTTCGTGATAACCGCTGTGACAGAGTGGTGTAGAGGGAGGTGGTTTACATGAAAACACAGTGGACAATGGGACATTTAAACCAGACCTACCGAAGTTAGAACAAAGCCATCATTTCAGAGACAAGATTGAACAGAGGAGTTGTGGGAAACCGTACCGGGAGTTCATGAGATTGCTGGCCACCTCATCTAAATACAAGGACTGAAATGGAAATGCAGGGATTTACTGCTGAGTCAAGGGGTTAGTTTTCTTCTAGTACCTGCAGCAGGGACAGCATGGAGAGCAGGTATCATCAGGTACATTGATGTATTAAGTGTTCCTGGCTGTGAAAGGAGAAGAATGAAACTTTGAGAGGTTTGTAAGTGCTCTTGTTATCCAGCACCTGATCCATCCTGAGTGCTCAGTAAATTGTTGTCATATGACTATGAAATGAGTGAGATGAGTGGAGCTGATTATCAATTTAGAGACAGACCAGAGGTATTTAGGCCAAAAATGTCAGGAGAGGTTTCGTTTTGTTTTGTTTTCCTTTCTTCAGTGCCACATTACGCAGAAAGTTAGTGAGGTTCTGTTTTATGCCAGCCATTTCAGGGGACCCTGGGGATACTCCCTGAACAAGGGAGCTGTGGGCCCTGTCTTAGAGAGATTTCAGTCCAGGAAGGAGAGCCAAGGAACAAGAGGAGGGAGTGGGCACAGCCTGTGAAGGAAAGAGCAGGGGAGCATTTTGGAGCATTTGAGGGGTGGAGGGAGCTACGGCACGGGACCATGCAGGAAGAGGAAGGATGAAAAAAGATCTTTGGAATCCTTCTGATAAAAGAGAACAAGACGTGGATCAAACATTGGAGAGGAGTGATTTATAAATAGTCATTTAAAATCTCACTGAGGAAAGAGGTAGGACTGGCAAATTTAGGCAAAATAAAATAAACTGTCCAGAGAAAGTAATTTTAGGGAGGCTAGCAGAAAAGTCGATTATGAATTCCATGCATTTCACTATAAATCAGAAGGTAGTTCCAAAAAATGTTGAAAGTATGTGTTGGGGGAGGATGTGCTGCTAGAGGTATCTCTATATAAATTTATGTTAAAATGCCACAGGATTTCTTACTTTATTCACATGGTTCATGTTTTGACTCTTAAGAAATGTTTAAGAATATAATTCTTTGATTTTCAAAGGCTGTGGAGGTGTGAGTTAATTTTTTCCCATTAGAAAATGAAGTTGAGAAAAGGGTCAGCTGCAGTTTCACCTTAATAGAGAGAATTTTCTGGAGAAGCACGTCAAATACCATAAAATATTTAAATCTCAGCCAGTGTCCCTGGCCTTACTGTACTATTCCCTCAAGACAGTAAAAAGGAGATGGGAAAACACCACCCTTGACTCTCTGACACCACCAAAGGCCAACTTGAGCACTTGATAAATCCCTAGTGTGTGGTTTGAGTCACGTATGTTAAGCCACTGTAGGATGTTGCTTATATTTTTCCTGTTGGATATATTTTAATATCCATTCAAAATAAAGTTGTCCTTTAAACTTAAAAAAAAGGCAAAATATCATTGTATTAAATTAATATTCTGCCTCTCATTAAGATTGATTTCTTGGGAACCAGCAGTTAGCATAATGGCTATGTCACTGGACTCCCACGTAGTCGACCGTGGTTCGCGTCACAGACCCGGTGGCTTAAAACTCACGCCGGGTACGTGTGCATGCGTGCCCAAGATCCTGAGAGGAGAATGGAGGAGAAGGGATTGTGGCGTGACCATCCCACCTGGGGGGTGATTTCTTGCTTTCTGTCTCTATGTCTCTCTCTGTCTGGCAAGTGCACGCACCCTATAGCGAAAACTTCTCAAAAAAAAAAAAAGATTGATTTCTTTTCAGTAAGTAAAATGTCTATTTGTACCAAGGTCTAGAAATAATCACATTCTTTCTCTCTCTCTCCTTTCCTTTATTCCTTCCTTTTTTCCTTCCTCCTTCCAGCGATTACTATCTGTGTGATGTTACATGGGCAACGCAAGAAAGGATTTCTTTGCAATGGCTCAGGAGGATTCAGAACTATTCCGTCATGGACATTTGTGACTATAAATCCAATGCAAGTTGGAATTGCTCAGAGGTAAGACTGAATGGGGGTGTTCTTCTAAAATGCCATGTGGTTAGAGGACTCTATGAAGGCAGTGAGAGTGAAGGCTAGGAATCAGAAAATGAGATTTGAGTTTCTTTTCTTTTTGCCTCTTTGAACTTGAGGCAGTGACTAAGTCTTGACTGACTGTTAGGTAATCTGTATCCAGTTGTGCTTCCACTTCACCTTCCCTCGCTAGCTATACCGTTTCAGTTATGGATGCGATCATCTGGGAAGGGGAGAAAAGGGACTGGAAGCCCAGAAGATGGGGTCTAATATCAATATTAAAAGAGAATCAAAGAGGTCCAGGGACTGTAAGGTCAATGAAGTATGATTTAATAGAGAAAGGATAGAGAGGGAGACTAACTGGCTGAGAATATGTGAAACAAAACAAACATCAAGAGACCACAAATCATTACTAGTTTGTGACTGACTATCTTGAAGCAGGAAATTATTTTCTAAGTTAAATAGATAACTACCAATCTGAGAGGGCAGCAACACTGAGACAAACTCAGTGTTAATTAAACACTGAGATGCTGAGGGGTTGCCAGCCAGGAGACCACGAGGTCTGGCCAGCTGGTGTATGAAATTAAAACCGTTTTGGGAGCCAGCAGCCACAGGAGGAATAGAGATATGTCTTTGGCATATGCCAGAGAGACCTCCTTGAGGCTCCTCTTCTGGTCATAGACTCTCCATGCCTCCCCTCCCTGCTCCTGTCTTAGATGGATACAGGGAAGATTGTTACCTCATAGAGCGTGAGCACCCCATGTATTGATTCACTTATTCCTTTATTTATGCCACAAGCATTAAAGCCTGGTGTGTTCCAAATTCTGGGCTAAGCTATGGATATATTTTTAAAAAATGAATTAGACAGCCTGCCTATCCCTCCAAATGCTTCTGTTCTAGTAGTGAATATCATTATGAAAATAAATCATAATAGTTACCATTTTTTTGACCACTTACAGCATGCCAGACACTGTGTAGACTGAGGCTCATTGTGTTTCAGAAGCCTGCCCGTGTCATAGGACACAGCCAGAACCAAACTACAAAACTCAAGCTCTTTGCTTCCTCCCAATTAAGCCACTGTAATGGCAGAATATTATGCTATAAAAGAGTCTAAGCAAGGTGCAGAGGGATTATAGGACAAAGACAATCAGTTCTACTGGAGGCAGGTGGGGTGGATAAGCAGATGCCTGAAATAAGTTGCCTTATGCTGGGCAGAAAAGGGTAAAAGGCCCATCCATAAGCAGAGGGCTATACAAAGGTATCCAGTGGGAACAGCTTGGAGCACGCAGGAACTGGGATCCGTATGACTTGGGGCCGCGGGCGAGTCACAGTGTGATAGCTGATGCCTGAGATACCAGCTGAGGCTATTGTGTCATTCTGAAGAACTGGATTCACCTTGTAAGAAATACAAAGCAGTGTCGAGATTTAAACTAAGAGAGTATCATCACAAGGTGGAACTATCTGTTGCCAAGTGGGGTCAGTGGGAGGGCTTCGCAGGGTGGATGGCAGGTTGGAAGGGGAGAGCAGCAGGGTCTTCAGGAAAGATATTGTGGAGATGGGCCAAGGAAAACCTGCTAAGGACGTAAACGAGGTGGTGGTGGCAAGAGACAGAGCAAAGGACTATGTGACGGGGCTGAAGGAGGTGACTATGAGAACAGGAATCTAGAAAATATGGAATGACTCTCGGGGCTCCAGCTGGGGTGAATAGGTGCCACTAACTAGAAGACTGAAAGAGTGAGAAGAGGCTATGGGGGTGGAAGAAAGAGAATGAAATAATCTTCAATTTGCACATGTTGGAAAATGCTAGTAGATCTTCCAAGACAATACGTGAATACAACTAGAACTGAGCTCTAGACAAGAGAGGTAAATGACCCTAATGGAATTGCATGAAAAATACTAACAAAAATAAGAATATATGAATGGAGGTAGTTTTCAGCTATTTTATTATAGTATGATTTAGTTTATATTATCATGACTTGTGACTAAAGAATAGGTTTCATCTTCTTTCTTCTCTTTGGAATATTGTCATTTTTTTTTTCCCTTCCTAGGCACGGCAACACGTTGAAATGAGTACCACTGGCTGGGTTGGAAGAGTAAGTCTGATGAGTTATGGGCTACTATGTACTAAGGACCAGCTACTCCAAGCTATTTAATAATATATGGAGGGACCAGCAGTTAGCGTAATGGCTATGTCGCTGAACTCCCACGTAGTCTATAATGGTTCGCGTCCCAGACCGGGTGGCTTAAAACTCACACCAGGTGCATGTGCGTGCATGTCCAAGATTCTGAGAGGAGAACGGGAGTGATTTCTCTCTTTCTGTCTCTCTGTCTCTCTCTGTCTATCTGGCAAGCATACACGCCCTATAGCAAAAACCTCTCCAAAAATAATAATAATAATAATATAGGGATCTAAACTCGGGCTCTATGTTATTGTTACTTGCAAAGACATTAGTTGACTTATTTCTCAGAATATTTCAATGCTATCTATAGTGATATCTTTTTATGGAGAATATATACCATACTCACTTGGAAAAAAGTAATGAGACAGGTGAAAAATTGAGAGCAGAGCAGACAAAACAAAACACATGCTCTAGGCAAATTGTAACTTCCAGTCAGTTAAAAAGCAATTGCTGCTGAAAGGCAGCCAAGATACCAAAAGTGCTCATTGACCTCATATTTGAAGTTATTTGCTTAAAAGGTGGAAAACACAGTCTCCATCTTCAGCCTACACAAATGCCTAAGGAGATGTGGCTATGACTAACAGCAATCACACAATACCTGTTATGCACCTCTCTTTGGAGGAAATCCACTCATGTGGATTCACACTTTTCTAGGCACATTTGTGACATCAAAAATTGGCTTCATGAAACTAAAAGATGGATGTTGTTTATCACATACTTTTAGTCAAAAATCATCATTATTTCCTGAGAGAAGGTACCCCAAATAGCAATAACCACTTCTAATTATTGCTTGTTCTATGAAGGTGTCTGTATGTGCACTCTTATTAGCTCCTCACAAAAAATGAGTTTCATCTTTTGACCACATTTTATAGAAACAATCTAGAAACAAGGATTTTATTTTACTTTTATTTTATTCATGATACAAAGTGCATGCACACACTTAAGAGAAAGAGAGAGCCCCTTGACAGGGTATCCTCACACCGAGGTCCTCTTTTCCTAGCCCCCAGCTCTGCAGGGTCTTGGACATGTCTGCACACACCTAGTGTGTTTCCAAGCAGAGCAGAGGACTCCAAACCCCCAGTGGGCCTGTGACATCTAACTCTGCAGTTTTGTTTGCTACCAACTATGCCATTAGACTGAGCCAAAGCATGGGTTTTTGAGCATAGGTACAGAGATTTATTCAAAAAAGCATGATGACCCGCAGAAACAACTTCTTCTCATCCCACTGTGTTATACATGTGTTGTATGGAATTATCAACCACGTTGCTACAAGACCATGGAACAAGGTGAATTGGTAAAGAAATTTTAGCCATCGTGACACCTCACATGAAAGATGAATGAATCTCACCTAAATTTTTATAACCACTTCTATTAAACCCTTACTAAGGGGAAAAGAAAGTCACAAGAGCACACGTGCGCACACACCCACACACACACAAAAGTAAAGATTTCACATCTCGTGGGTCATTGAGGTGAGGCCCCTGGTCCAGGAAAAAGATCCCTTCCAGCTGGGCCCGAAGCTCTAGTAGCATTCGCACGTCCTTTTCCTTCAGGCATTGATTGGGCAGAGGGGAGAGGTTTGCCAACATGAAAAGTGGTTTCCTCCATGGCAAGAGACATGCTACACTTCCTCACGACTCTTTGAAAAAAATATGTTTTTTCCTCTCTGTATTTAACCAGACAGATGCCACTTTTCACACATTTCTACTAGGCACAACTCCATCCAGGGGAAACAGGGAAATGTATTAAAAAGATAAGGCTGTGAACACAGGTCTAGAGAGGGGAATGTGTTTCAGAGCTCCGTAATGAGAACACCAAGTGTACTGCCTGCCTCAGCTTGCTCCATAAATGAATTCGTTTTGAATCACTAAATAGAAGAGGGAAGCATTTTTCTTCTTTCCTAAAATGGGAGCTGATGAGCGAGGAAACATCCAGGGTGAAGTGAACCAACAATTTTAAAAGACCATCTCTCCTACCTGCTCTCATATGTAGCTAAGAAATCGAAATTAAAAAGCAACACATTCGTTTCAGGCTGGGATAGAAACTCTTCTACTTAAACAAAATTATGTTCTGGGTACTATCTTTTCGTGAACTATAAAAATATAGAAATTATGTTCTGTGCTTCAATACAACTTTTTTTTTGCTAAGTTGTTGATCATAGTTAACAAAATGAAACACTTACAATAAAAATAACTATATGAATGTTTCCATATAAAATAAAAAAGATATATATTCCTTATAGTACCTAGTCCAGAAATGGTTAGAGACTGACTTTCTAAAAGAAGAAAATGTTAAAAAAAAAAACCCCACAGGAAAGAAAAATTCCCTTAAACTACAAACCTTCAACTTGAAACAGTCAAAAAATATATGTTTCAAGGAAGCACATTTGTGACATTGAGAAAATTTGCTTCTTAAAACTAAAAATGAATGCTGCTTTTTTCACATAGTTATAGCCAGAAATCATAATTATTTTCCACAGAGAAAAAAATACCCCAAATAGCAATAACCACATCTACTTATTGAGTGTTCTGTGCAGACATCCGTATGTGCACGCTCTCATTTACTCTTTACAATAAATGAGTTTTTGTCCACATTTTATAGAATTTGCTTTTGGAGACTCTAGTTTCATTTGGCAAGTAAGTTAAATAAGGTTTTATTTTTCAAGTTTATTTTATCCATGATAGAAAGCTCATGTGCACACTTGAGAGCAAGTGAGAACGAGCCCCTTGACAGGTCTCATCACACCATGTTCCTTTTTTCCTAGCCCCCAGCTCTGCAGGATTCTGGGCATGTGTGCACACACCCAGTGTGTTTCCAAGCTGACCTGGGGAACCCAAACCTGCAGTGGGCCTGTGGCATCTAGCTCTGCAGTTTAGTTTGCTACCAGCTGCACAACACACTGAGCTGAAGCAGCGGTTTTGGGGCACAGATGTTGAGAATTTTTTTAAATTATTGTAAAATTGGTACTGAGATGAGACTAACGTGCTTTCATGTTTTCTTAATTCCCCATCATTTTCTAGTTTAGACCTTCAGAACCTCATTTCACCTCTGATGGTAACAGCTTCTACAAGATCATCAGCAATGAAGAGGGTTACAAACACATTTGCTACTTCCAAACAGATAGTAAAGTAAGTATTCTCACATAATTTATTTCAGATTTACTCCCTTTTCTGCTCTAATGTGAAGTGGAAATCATTGGTGAAGTTAATAAATACGTGGAAATAATCAGACTAATTCAAATTCCTTGATGATATGTGGGGTAACGTGGAACGGGGTGGGGGGTTTCAAGAAAACTCACAATTATTTGAATTCCTGATATCAATTACTTGATTGTGCACTTAAGTTGGATTAGAGAGTCTAACAAATGTCTTTTTGAAAAAAAAATTAGGACTGTATATTTATTACAAAAGGAGCCTGGGAAGTCATTGGAATAGAAGCCCTTACAAGCAATTACCTGTGAGTATTTGAATAATCAATAGGCTATAAACCCTACTCGTCATAATCATACCCTCTTTGCCCAGAAGAAGGGAAAAATTCCTACAAATAAAGAGTAGTCTATTTGGAATGTGTTCAATCCTTTTTCTTTTTAACATACGGAAGCCTTAATGATTTTCACATATGCTGAGCAGATTTGATACCATGCCACCAAGCAACTCTACCTCTTGCTCTTACCTGCTTTACATTACAAGAGCTGCAGCCTCTTTTACTTGAAAGTCATGGAAAGCTGAACTAACATTCACAGGCATTTTGTTAAATTTCAACTGGCACTGAATTTTTAGAAGGCTTGGAAAGGCAATTTTTCTCTGTCCATGTCCTGGTCTTACTCTGGAAAATGGAAAGCTTGCAAAAGCTGTCATTTACCAGACACGATTTTTAGTGGAAAAAGAAATGTTACTTTTAATCACAATCTTAGGCCCTTTTATGATTCTTTATCAATCCCATCACGAAGGAATTTTGTTACTGCCCAAAGTAGTTTTTGTTTTGTTTTGTTTTGTTTTTGGAAAGGTTTTTCCTATAGGGTGCATGTGCTCACCGGAAAGACACCAGAGTAGTGTTTGAAGAACTTCCTGAGAAGGGGCTCTGCAGCTCCCAGGAAGATAGAGTTCCTGTTATCCAGTAGCTTCTATTATAAAACAAAATATGGAAATAGTATCAATAAATGAGAGTCTCGATTGGAGGTTAGTTGCCCAATCGTATTCTTCTGGCAGAAGACTTCCTTTGAGGTTTCCTCATCACTTTAAGGGGGAAAAAAAAAATCCCTGGTTTCATATATTTTAGGCTTTTAAGAAAAACACTTTCCTGTATAGAGATAACAGGAAGCTAGTTGCTTGGGGGAGAGGAAACGGGGAAGCAATGACAGGAAAGGGCAAGCACTGACACGTGCACGCTTACAGACACACTGTGCTTACAGACACACTGATGCTTGGTGTTTGAGTGTGGTGGGGTGTATCTGACTTTTTAAAAATACGTAATTAATATATATTTCATTTCCTTCCCAGATACTACATTAGTAACGAACATAAAGGAATGCCAGGAGGAAGAAATCTTTATAAGTAAGAGTTCTGTTTAAGGTTGTTTAACTGATGAAAAATTTCTACATTTGTTGTGCTTTCTAATAGTAAACTGAAATTGCTATTGAGCATTTTTATTCTTTCTTACATCAGTTTGCATGTCCACAAAGGGGATGGCTTTATTAGATATTTTGTGATATTCCAAACAATGGGAGGTTTAAATGAATTATTAATGAATTTATGTATTTACTTCACACTTTTAAAAAGTCTGAGAATTACTTTGTCATACATATATCTTTGAAACTAGCATATGGCATTATTCAATTTCTTCTTTTCATGTTTTTAGAAATTATTTTATTTAATTTTGTTTATTACCATTATTTTTTAATTTGACCAGAGACAGAAAGGGAGACAGAGGGAAAGCGAGAAAGCAAGCTGCCATCTAACACTTAATTTCTCCTATTGGTTTTATAGGATCCAACTTAGTAACTACACAGACGTGACCTGTCTTAGCTGTGAGCTGAAGCCACAAAGGTGTCAGTACTATTCTGTGTCATTTAGTAAAGAGGCAAAATATTATCAACTGAGATGTTCAGGTAAGTTTGAGCCAATGGGGAGGAGAGCCCCAGTAGCTGTAACTCACGTGGCTATCTGAAGTGGCTCCCTCTGTCCCAACAGCTGGGGTAATTGACCTCCCCTCCACTGTCCAGCTAATGGTGCCCCTCCTCTCTCCTGATAAGGCTATCCTATGCCCTTCCAGCCCAGTCTGCCCAGGCGTGAGGCCTGTGGAGTTTGGAAAACAGTCTTTCTTTTCTGCTCGGAACCTTAGGGTCCCTTGAAATCTCCCAAGTTCCCTTCTCTCCATTCACATTTAAGGGGCGAGTATAAACCACCATTTCTTCTCCTCCTAACCAAGAGACCTGCAGAGCTTGCTTCAGACTTCGCACATGCAAATACACACACCCCGTATGTATAATAGAAGCACTTTATCCTTATATATTCACATTTGTGGACATTTAGATTTTTATTATTTCATTCACTTGCCTCTTTAAATAAGAAATGTATGATTAGTGCCTGTCATCCAACACACTTACTGCTCTGGCTTCCGTTGCCTTAGCTCTCATTTCTTCTAAATGAAGGAACCTGGGCAAGGGAGGCAAAGTGACTTACACAGATCACATGGCTAGTTAGAGGCACAACAGGATTCAAACCCAGACCTCTGCCTCCGACCCTTTCCTTTTAAAAATTGTTCTAGGTTAAAAAAAAATTGTTCTAGGTTAGTTCTCAAAATGAGAGAATCTCATTGTTCTGAAAAGAATTGTCGATGGCAAAGAAAGAGGTTTCCAAGCCAGTTATCTGAATCTTTCTTCACTAGTATGTTTTCATTATTATTATTATTATTATTATTATTATTTTATGGTTCTTTAGTACTAGGGGGAGGGGTCGTTTCTGTTTTTTTAAAGACAGGGTCTCATTGTGTTGTAATTCTCCTGCCTCAGACTCCCAAGTAGCTGGGACTATGCATGGGGCATCATGTCCAGGTCTTTTTCAGACAGGATCTCGCTATGCTTCCCAGGCCACGCTCAAGCTCACAATCCTTCCACCTCATCCTCCTGAGTCTCTGGGACTACAGGCATATGCCACCTTGCTGGACCTTCAGGTTGGACCCGGATTGAAATCCGAGCCTCCCACTGTGATGGCAGCCTGCGGTACACGGTACACGGTACACCGGTACCCCATATCTTAGCGCACTCCACTGCGGCTGGGCCTGTTGTGGCTGTTTTTACTCACCATTTCTTGGGCATGAGCTTTAGCCTAAACACTGTGCTAAGTTTTTATATTCATGATATTTCTTAATCTTTAAGAAAACTCTGTAAAGCAGTTACTGTTATCCTTGTTTTTTGTGAGGCAAAATTGAAGCATAGATGTGTTATTCTAAGTAGCGCAGCAAATAAGCTAAGTGCAGGTCTACATAGTGTGTTCACTGTGGTTCTAATGGGATGAAAAAATTAATATTATCACCCAAATGCAGCAAAATTAAATAGCTCACAAAATAGCTTTTCTATACATCATTACCTTCCACTATGAAACTACCACAGTTGGGATAAATAGTGAAGATATGGGCTTGTGAGAAAAACACTTTTGCATGCCAGAAAGTAATTGCTTCTCCATCAGGCACTGTGCAGATGTGCTGCCTAGCTCCATGGCTCTGCACAAGTGGGAGCAGCAAGGAGCAGAGCCCTCTCACTCCCTTAGGCAAGGCTGGCTCCAGTGCTCCTGGAAGGAGGGCAAGACATGAGAGTCAATGTGGTCACTGCAGGATCACGGATTGAGGGGAAGGATTTAAGGGAAAAACAGCAACTCTCTTTTTAGCTCTCTGAGGAGGAAATTGGGTGCTGAGATGATATCTTGCCTAAGGTACCCAGCAGGTCAGAGGTTCATTTCCAACTTCATCCCACTGAACTCTGTGACTTTCCAGTATTATCTCTTGCATCCAAATTGCAATTATTTCAGGGGGAAAAATGGGAAAACAGGTAACATTTATTACACTTCTTATCTACAAAGATATTTATTATGTGTCCTAGCAAAGTAAGTGGTATCAAGTGATATTTATGAAAAGTCCTATATGTTATCTTAAAAAAATAAAAAAACAAAACTCATCTAACACACATTGTCCCTGATTATGTTAACAGGCCCTGGGCTGCCCCTCTATACTCTGCATAGCAGTGTGAATGACAAAGGTATTTTCTCATCTTTTGCCCTTCATTTGCTTTTAGGAAGGTGGATAGAAATAGAAGCAACATGTATTTAGCTTTGCATGATTCTCTGGCTTTAAAGAGTCTCAGCAATGACTTGAATGAAAGGCTTAAACCTGGAGTTTGTACAGTTCAATCAGTAAATTTCACATTTGCTCCTTATTGCATCGCATAATCTAAATTCTTCACAATGAAATGAATTACTGCTGTCTCGTGTATTTATTTAGAACTGAGAGTCCTGGAAGACAATTCAGCTTTGGATAAAATGCTGCAGGATGTCCAGATGCCCTCAAAAAAGCTGGACTTTATTACTTTGAATGGAACAAGTAAGTTAAATAGCTCTTGGCATAGTGCTTCTCATAGAAACACCCGTAAAATATAACTAAACAAGATAATATGATCTAAAATATGTACTTTATATTACATATAAATCTAACTTAGAATATTTTCCCTGAAGTGTCCTGTCATAGGAACTGCTGGTTTTACATTCTTTTGTCTTAAATACAATACCATTCAATCTAAAATTTATTCTTTCAAAAGGAAAAGTATTTGGAGAAAATGCATTGTTGCTAGTTCAGTTTAATCCTGTTAGTGTTATTTATCTTCTAGTATTATTTGTTTTCACTAACTTAATGATATCCTAATATATTTCATCTTTAACTCAAACAGATAAAACAAAAAGAGATGATTGTACAAAAATTAGGATTAGGTATAAAGTGTTAAAACCTCAATCTAGGGAGAGAAATCTTGAATTTTTCCTAATCACTCCCATTGTTGGCCTAGTCCCTGGCCTGATAACCTAATCATGGATAATATTTAGAGATCACTAAAAACAATGGGTGTCTTTGAGTAGGAAATTTTGTTATTTATGTTTGTTTGCTTGTTTTCATTTATGTTTTTTTCCCCTTTAAGGACTAATAAGTTATGAAGGAGAGAGAATCCACTTGGATTATTTTATTTTTGGTTTTTGAAAAATTTAGAATAATAGAAAAATATTCAACACATCTAACTTTAAATGTCAGGGAAAGCACCAGAAAGCATAGGGGACTTCTGAAGAATAACATGAAGTATGCTAATAACCTGATTATGTGTGTAGGTCACTTGGGATCTATTAATAACTAACATGCACATTCTGACCGATCAGGTCAGGCAGTAGGTCCAGGACTTCATGTTTGTCATAATTTCCTAGGTGATGCCAGTATTGCCGGCTCTTGAGAAACAATTAGGTAGCAAGAGGTTAGAGTTTTCCAGAGCCAACTTTGACAGCTTGGTGCAGAAGGCATCGACTACTACAATGTGACATCCTATTTCACCTGGTAAACAGTGAGGAGCTCCTGAAGGATTTAGGTACAGGAAGCCACACGATTAGGTGAGTGTAGGATGGAGCTTCCAGAGGAAGAGAGGTCCCCTGGGGAGCTGGTTATGATCATTTAAACTATGGAAAATAAAAGCGCCTGAAGGAGTCGGGAAGGAGGGAGCAGAGAAGGCAGAACTATGGGAATAGACCAAAAAAAGAACATGTCTTAAAAAAATAGAACTAAAACAGCTTCTAATCAACTAGTGCTGATTCAAACAAAGCAGATTTCAACCAGGGTTTGGCATACTCATTAAAAATATCATAGTCAATTAATAGTTTGACGTTTTAATAAAATTGTAATAGTCTTAAAATTTTGTTCTTGCAGCACATTTAATAAGAAGCCATAAAATTAATCAGCAAAATACAAATCGAAAAGAAATACACCTGTATAAAGGTCTTATTACTAAATCTTTCTATTTTCCTCCACCAAAATAATTGCAAAATAACAAAAAGGAGAGAAACAATTGTAGTTTTTTTGGGGGGATGGTTTCTGTTATTATTTGGTTTTGCTTACATTTAGATCTACTGAAGCCAGAAATGAACTTATTAAAATATAGAAAACCTTTTATTAAAATATATATTAGTTAACACATCTTTAAATTGGGAGCAAAAAGAGTCATCTATTATTTCAGAATAAATTTTATTAAACTGATATTGCATCAAGCACAGAGAATTAAATAGATCTTCTGTGGAACACCATACAGTATGTACGTAACAGTTTGCTTCATATAAACCAAATTTCATTCTGTGAAACTCAGCGCTGAAAATGGGAACTGAGCTTTGTGGTCTGTGATGGCAATAAGAATTAAAAAATGTTATTAAATCAGAATTTCAAAATAGAGGTGGGGCCAACTAAAAATCCAAAACTGCTTCAAAGAAATTCAAGACAAGAACACATTTTGGAGGAAAACTTAGAACATGAGCCATAAACAAACTAGATAAATAGATCAGATGCCAAAGAATGGAGTCATAAAAACAGAACATTAGAAATTCTAAGATGTACTTTTATTCACAAGGCACCAATGCATTTAGTAGATACATTAGAAACAACTTAGTTGTGTTAACATTAACTAGTGTTTTAACCTTAAAGTTTTTGTGTCTTAAAACCATGCTGAATTAAGTAGTTTTCTTTTTTATTCTAATTTAACAAACTGTTAAACTCTATGCATGCTTTATCACTGACAGTGATAAGGAATGAAATCTTGCACTAATAATTATTCTTAACTCACTAATTAATCTTTCCATTTGTTTAGGATTTTGGTATCAGATGATCTTGCCACCCCATTTTGATGAATCCAAAAAGTATCCTCTGCTAATAGATGTGTAAGTATTCCAAGGGTGGGAGCAGTTTAGAAGTTATCTGTCATACAAGTTTTGCCCAGTACAGCCTACTGAAAAATAGAGCCAAGTGTGTTCTTTTTTTCTTTTAAAATCATTGTGAAGCAATCTTTACTATGTCCTTCCATTTTGCAATCACAAACCCTAACCTGTGTTTTTCCCATCTTCTTAGTAGAGAAAGTAGATTCTTCTTCGTCATAATAACATATGAATTTTCTTTCGATTTGCTTCCCTGGATTCTAAGAAAAATTTCAAAGGAATTCTCAAGTCTTCATTTTCATCCTTACCTTGTGGACATTTTAACAAGCTAAAGATGGCTATTAACAGTCTTCAAGTTCTTCTACCCCCCAAACTTTCCAGTCAGGTCACATTGGTTGCCTTTGACTCATTAAAACCTCAAGTTTCTCTTTCTATAGTTCCTAAAATACCACTGCCTGATATTTTGCATTCCGTTTTATCATGAAGAGAAGAGGTGATAGTTCATTATAAATCAGACTTCAATTTTTAGAAAAAGTTCTGAACTCACAAGTCTGAACAATAAATATGAACCTTTGAATTCTAAAATTTTTTTGAGGTTTTTGCTATAGGGCTTGTGTGCACTTGCCAGAAAGACAGAGGCAGAGAGATAGAAAGCGAGAAATCACCCCCAGGGGGATGGCCATGCTGCAGTCCTGTCTCCTCCATTCTCCTCTTGGGATCTTGGGCACGCACACGCACCCAGTGTGAATTTGAGCCACAGGGTCTGGGACTCGAACCACGGTCGACTACATGGGAGTCCAGCAACTTAGCCATTACACCAACTGATGGTCCCAATATGGTGGTTTTGCAGAATATATTTGATAATTATTTTGGATGCACTTTTCTTCAATCCTTCTAAATTGCCCTGATCTCACCCATAATGCCACAATGCCACACTCTTTCCTGTCCTAGCTTGTATTTCCTTTTATTAAAAACAAAAGAAACAGACCACGGAATGTATAGAGTGCCTACCATATGTGCCAGTGCTTAGCCTGATTTGCTTATGTTAGTCACAAAACAGACCAATATGGTCAGTTCTGTTGACCCATCATATGAAAGAAAAACAAGCTCAGGGATACAATTTTTTCATTATTATTAGCTTTGTTTTTCTATATTCTCAGTTTTGTGAAAACTAAAATAAAAGCCCAAAGAAAAAGAGGTATTTTAAGTTTCCAGATGTGCTATATTTTTCAGTAAGCCTACTTTTGACTTAATAAGGCAACCTCATTAATCACATTAATTTGTTTTAATTTTTAGCACAAGTACTAAAAAAGGATCCTTTAGAAAAGAGTGATAGTTTTGTCTTCTTTGGCTCCCCAATGAGTAGACATCCCCTTGTAGACCTCCCTTTCATTAGAAAGATTAAAGAAAAAAAAAGTTAAATTTTCTGTCCATTTCTGTTTAGTTACTTTTTCCTCATCTCTTTTGAGACCTACAATTTTGTTTTCTATTTTTAAAGTAATCTTATTTAATCTTGGACAATTAATACCAAATATAAAGGGCAAACTCTTATTCTACTAAATTTATTATCATTCAGAGGGCCAAGACATTTCACATGTTGTTTAAGAAAAAAGTTTGCTTGCCTAAAAAATATATGCATGCATTCTCTCTCTCATTTTTGTAGTTTTTGCTATAGAAAGCTAGAGATTGCCAGGGAGGGACAAAGAGGAAAAGTGAGAAATCAACCTCTGGGGGATGGTCATGCTGCAATCCCCTATTCTCCATTTTCCTCTTGGATTTTAGGCACACATGCATGCGCATGCACCTGGTGTGATTCTCAAGCTGTCTGGTTGAGACTTGAACCACAAAATTGGCCATGCATGATTCAGTGCCTCAACCTCCATGTTTCATGCTGGCCCACATTCTCCTTTGTAAAGTTAGAATGTTAAAATATTCAGTTTAAAATTTTAAAAACGTATCTTTTTTTTCTTTCTTTCTTCCTTTATTTTTATTTATTTATTTTTTTTAGAGATTTTTGCTATAGGGCACATGCACTTGCCTGAGAGACAGAGAGATAGAAAGTGAGAAATCACACCCTCTTGGGGGGCTTGGTCACTCCACAAGCCTCTCCTCCATTCTAACAAGATTCGGGGGCCATGCATGCCCATGCACTGGTGTGAATTTTAAGCCTAAGGGTCCAGGAGGGACTCAAATTGCTGTCAACTACATGGGAGTCCAGCGACATAACCATTACTTCATCTGCTGGTCCCAATACCACATATTTTTAAATCACATTTCTTTTGACAGCTGTCCCTAAGAAGAGGGAAGAAAACATTAGCAAAAGCCTACAAACAGGACGTCTCCGTGTGGGAGACAGTGAGCTTGAGTAGGAGAGATGAGCTGGGGAGGCAGTAACTATTGGAGAAGATCCAATATAGATGGTGCAAAAAGGACATACTTATATGAGATGCACAATTTATATGGAGCTCCTCTTGACTAGCAAATGAGAGGGGTTGTTGAAGATTGGTAGCTCGTAGCTTGAGAAGACTGCACATATAAGGAAGTTAAACTTTTTAATAAATAGAATGCTAAACAACATACCCATTTTCCAGTACAATCCATTTCTTTCTCCTTTGAAGAGTTAAGTAATAGTGTTCATACTTTGGTCTATTTCACAATGATGTATGGAGTCTTAGTGTGGGAAGCTTAGTGCTGGGTATTTAGAGCTAGATGCCATGGGAAATGCAAAACCTATGATGCCGCAGTCCTTAAGGAAGTTCCACCCTAGGAAATAAACTTTAGCCTGGGAGTATTTGTAAGCCAAGATGAATATCTATATTTAAATCTGCATTTGTTGTCATCATTATTATATTGGGTCATCGGGAAAGTCATAACATATTTTTACATAGAAAAACATAGAAAAATATGTCATGACTTTGCAGACAACCTAATATTTTGCATGACATAATTTCCCTGTCCCAACTATTAGAGAAAATATTTCTTTGGTTTCCAACATTATGTAATTCTTTAAAAATGTTGGCCTATGAAGGCTGTATTTGATAACAATCTTCAAAGATAAACTAACGGGTATCTATGAAGGAAACATACAGCCATTAGAGTCATGTTGCCAAGTTCAGAGAACCCATTCTGGATACCCCAGAGGCTCATTTGGCCTTAGGTTCACCTTCGGGAAAGATGAACATTCCTTGTCCACAGAGAAGAGAAATGGAAGATCTCTTCATTTGATAGAGGAGAATCATGAAATTAACAACTTGGGATTTTTCACAGATATGCAGGTCCCTGTAGTCAAAAAGCAGATGCTGCCTTCAGACTCAACTGGGCCACTTACCTTGCAAGCACGGAAAACATTATTGTAGCTAGCTTTGATGGCAGAGGAAGTGGTTACCAAGGAGATAAGATCATGCACGCAATCAACAGAAGACTGGGAACATTTGAAGTTGAGGATCAAATTGAAGCAGCCAGGTGAGTGACTAGGAGATGAATTCAAAGGTCATCTGATTTTTCCCCCTTCAATTTGAAAGTTCTATGACATAAAGAATTTTGAAGGGCCCTGGGATGAATTTCTAATCTTTCTTTCTTGTGGTAGGTTTTTAGTCACACTATTATTTTTTAGGTTAAAATGTATGTCATATAGATTTATATGAAGTTTTTAAAGAGGCATTTTCTAAACTCTTCTCTGTATGTGACTCTGAAAAGGCAGTTGGCATGTGTTACCATCTTCTAAGAACAGACTCAAAATTCCTCAAATATGTGGACACATTGAGAGATAAATGTGGCCCGAGGAAACATCTGAAAGAAAAACAAGCCCTTACCTTACAGTCAAGGATAAGTAGAGGAGTTAAGTGTACATTTACAGTGTGGGGAGTGATAATGAAATCCTGGGAGTGGCTCCTACAGTCTGGAGAATGGTGAGTCTTCTCTTACGGGAAATGGGAAAATTGTGGCATTTAACTGTCATCAGTCACAATTACGAGGGCTTTGTTAATTATGAATCCCATGTTATTCTTATCATTTCCACTTATGGGACTATAAATAGATGTGATCTAGCGTAAGAGAAATTTTAATCATGAATGATGCATGTAATGTGAAATGTGTTTTATCTGAAGGCTTGTTGTAGAAACCCTGAGAAGTGCATGTTCTTACCCCATATTTCAAGTAAAGAAATGGAGGCTCTTAAGTTAGGTAACTTGCCAAAGTGAATCAGAATTTGAATCAAAGCTTGTTCCAGCTCTTACATTCAAGAATACTCAACTGGTAAATGGAAAGTCTAATTTTTTAAAAAATTGTTTTTTAAGTTTTTATTAATTCATTTCTTCTGAGAGAGAAAGAGAGAAGCAGGCATCCCCCCCCACCCACCCCAGCACAGTCCTCATTGCCACAATCCACCCTAGTCTCAGCCAGCCCAGTTCAAGGATGTGTTCACACACTTGGTATACGCAGGGAGGCCCTGGGTTGTGAACCTAGGACCTTTACCCTGCTGCATTACCACTGTGTCGCCACCTGGTCCTACAATGTAACTTTGATTTTCTGTAACCAAGAATGTGTTTATCTGGGGCAGCATAAGAAATGGGGTAGTTTAAAATATGTTATAAAACCATACTTTAAGAAATGCAGAAATATCCATGAATTATTAGATGGTTGGGAAGAAATGCCTTTAAGAAAAAGAATAACAAAATGAAAAAGAGGAAAAACAATGTATTAAGTATCCCTGAATGGATGAAATTCTCTTAATACCAAAGTTAATGCTTAGCTAGTTATTTTCCTTGACAATTAAAAAAGTAGAGATTTAGGTTAGACAGAGGATTAATCTGATCCACAGTGAGGCTTTGATATTTTAAAAATAAATTTGTATCTATCCTGATTGGTCTTTTGTGAGAGAGGGCATGGTTTGCAGAGCCTCTTAAATTTGACCCATGAGAGCTCTAAGATTACAGGAGTGTCTACAGTATACAACTCAAGCTAAGAAAGTAATAAGCTGTAGTGTGTTTATACAATAGGATGCTATTTCAGCAACTAAAAATAACTCTGCACAACAATATGGATTTATTTCACAAACACCGTGTTGAATGAAAGAAGCCAGACACAAAGGTGCACATCCTGTGTGATCCAATTTATAGAAAGTAAAAAACCAGGTACAAATTCTGGTAAGGTTTTCTGGGCATACAATAGAAAAAAATATTTAACTTTGTCCCTTTCCAATAAGGGAAATGATCTGGAAGCTTGTGATACTATGCACAGTTTGTGGTTTCAAGGATATATCCACTTGGTAAAGGTGGCTCAAGTTGTGCACCCATGATTTTGCGCACATTTCTATATGAGTGTGTTCTTCATTTAAAAAATGTTCACATGAAGAAGACAGAGTTGAAGGTCATTTTTAATTTTTTCTAATACTGCCTAACTGTACAGCCAAGGACATATATCATCAGTTGAAATCACTTTCTCAGGGCATCCCATGACCTGATGGCGAACACAGCTAGATCCTGCGTTGCTCACTGTCTGCTTTGAGAACTGGATTGGCAGCTTCAGAAACACTGAAAGAAGGGGGAAATGGAGGAGAAGGGATTGTGGCCTGACCATTCCCCGTGGGGAGTGCTGTCTCTCTCTCTCTCTCTCTAGCAAGTACATATCCCATGTGGAAAACATTTTTTAAAAATAAAAAGAAAGAAAGCAAGAAAACACCCTTCAAAGTCACAAATAGGCCAAAACAAGGACATCCTAACCCCTAACAATACTATGCAGAGACTCATTTACGAGATTCTTTTTCTAAGGGAAAAAAAAAAGTCTTTTGACTTAAAGTTAGATTACAAAATAGGCACTTAATACTTTTTTCTCATTTGTTTTTTTCTGTATTTTAATTCTGAACAGTTTGATGGCAAAAAGACTTCTTAATTCATCAAGGAAAATCTGTTTCCTATTTAATGGTGCTGAACTAACTAATCAACATTGAGCATAAGAAAGGATTCATGTAGAGAATATGTTTAAATCCTCAGGTAGGGGTTCCAGAAACATTTCTAAGCCCCACTAGATATCCCCTTGCCCTTATTTTTCTCCATTTCAGGGACAGACTCTCTCAAACTAAAAAACATCTGGAGAGATTTAAATTCAATTGTGTAAAGAAAAGTGCATCTGGACTGCAAATTTTTATATAAAGCTGTGAAAAAAACTGCTATGATTTGTTTTCTGTGAATCATACACACACACACACACACACACACGCACGCACACACACACACACACACAAATTTTATGGATTCTAACAAAAGTAAACCTGTTCATCTAGGTCTTTAGTTAAAATGATAGACATTTATCCATTCATCTCAGGGGGTTATTTCATTGCTAGCAGCTATTTATCTGAGTTTCTAATAGAATTAATAGAGATTGAATAGCAAAAATTCATATTTTATGTTATCTTAATTTTATACAGACAGTGCAATGTTGATTTAAGACTTCTTTCATGTGTTTTAGACAATTTTTGAAAATGGGATTTGTGGACAAAGGACGGATTGCGATTTGGGGCTGGGTGAGTAGTTGTTTGCTGAATCTGTGTGTATTTTAGTGAATAGAACTCAGAGCAGATTAATTTATATTTTATACATAAATATTTGGGGGTGAGAAATCTTGTCTATCAAGTTCTACAATAGATTGCTCCTGAGTCTTTACTGAGCCAGGCCCATACCTTTGTTTGTTATGTTGAGGGAGAAAAGAAAAAGAAAGAAAGAGCAAAGGAAAGAGAGGGAGAAACAGAGAGAGGGAGGGCAAGGAGGAGGGAGAAAGAGAAGGAGGGAGAGAAAGAGGGAAGAAAGGAAGGAAAAATGGAGATGTCTTTTCCTCATGAGTCAGTTAGTAAAGATTTCATGTTTATTGATTTGCTTTGCTTTGTTTTCTTTAATTGGTACCACCCAGTCATCAGGGTCAGCAAGTTTTCTATGCTTTTTTCTCTGCATCTACCAAGAAAAGGAACCAGGGCTCTGAAAGTGTAGTCTTGAGATACTGTCCAATTAAGACCAATTTAAGCCTCCTCTCTACCATGCTTTCTATCTCTAAAGAGGCACAGTATATAAAGATGTGAGAAATGTGGAAACTGCGACTCGCTTACCATATGTCCTTATTCCTTTACCTCCATAAAAATAACTGTTTCCATTCCTTAGTCATATGGAGGCTATGTAACCTCAATGGTCCTGGGATCGGGAAGTGGCGTGTTCAAGTGTGGAATAGCTGTGGCACCAGTATCCCGGTGGGAGTACTATGGTACGTAATTGCTGTCAGGCACTAAAAGATACTATGTTGACCTTAAAATGCCAGGAAAAAAATTCTTTTCTGAGTTTCAGTGTTTCTATAGTGAGTAATAGGCTGATTCATCTTAGAGGTTTTCTATAGCTACCTATAGTAAGATTATATCTTTTATGTTGTTGTTGTGTAAGTCTGGAGGGTATTATATGTTATCTACACATTTCACTTCCTATCAACAAATTTCGCTTTCCAAATTACAGAACAGCCCATTGCTACATTTCTGCAGATAAACCTTTCCTTATCTCTATTCTGATTTCATTTTTGAGCTTCATATATTAGCAGAATAAGAGTATTTCCTTTCAGGTAAAAATCAAATATAAGAAGGGTTTTTGGTGAAAAGAAGATTAGGGAGAAGAGAATTCCATAGGGTGAGAGAAGATGTTTCTTCCCTCTCCTACCTCCGAGTAGATAAAAAGCAGTTACAGAATATTCTCTTTATCATTGAAAAATATTATTCTGTGAGGCATCATCTGTCTGTTAGATTACAGTTCCCCAGAAGGAGGAGTGAGCACAGAAAACCAGGTAGGGGGAGAAGTCTGAGGTAGTAAAGAGGTGAATTACTTCTCTACATCTCTCCCAACTCCATCTCAAGTCTTTTAATGCAGTGTAAGAACAGAATCATTGATAATGAATGTGCTCATTACATATTTTATGTCCTGATATATAGTAGAACTAGTCCTGTGAAAAACCCTCTTTTAAAGTATATTCTAGATAAGAGAAGCTAGAGAAGAAAATATTGCTATCTTTCTGTTAAGAAAAAATTGAAGGGCGTGGTTAGTACTTGATCTGTGCACAATGGCTTTGCTTTCAAATACTAGTAATACTTTTCTGTTGGATATTGTTTTGTTGGATAACTTGTTTTTGGAGACCTCTGGTGGTCAATGAAATAATAAAGCAATCTGTAAAATTTAAAAATCCAATAGCCAGAGAACATCACTAAATGTGTATGAACCAGGCCAGCCAGTGGCATGGCAGTTAAAGTGGCTGGATCCAGTATGGCTGACTGTATGGTTCGAGTCCCAGACATACCAGTTTGGAAAACACACTGTGCACGTATGTGTGTGTCCCAAATTCATTGAGAAGAATGGAGAAAGGGTGACTGTGGTGTGACCATCCCCTCTGAGGGGTGTATTCTCACTTTCTCTCTCTCTCTCTTCTCCCTGTGAGTGTGCTCATCTTCAGCAAATTTTTTTTAAAAAGTGTATAAACCAACCTAATACATTGAAATTTTCTAGAGTTCTTATAAATGTATAAATTTGAACAATTTTACTTGAAGATTGGATAGAGAGAATATGTAAATTGTATTTCAAACACATTTCTAAAAGTTTCCACAGGATCTGGGACTTGAACCATGGTCAGCATGTGAAGGTCCAGCACCTTAACACCACACTACCTGCCGACCCCTTGTGTTAGCTATTTCATCTCAGGTCATTTTTCTACATGTAATCCTAATTAGTATAAATAAGAAAGTGTTATTGTGTTCTGAGACAAGCAGAATTGAAGTCTTCAGCTCTTTGAGGGAGAATTTATTTTACTTATAAGAGCCATTATTCCCCCACCACATCTGCAACCTAAATTATTAACATTGAAGTGTTAAGAGTTCAAAAAAATGAGCATTTTACCAAGATTTTATATATTAATGTATCTTTTTAAATATTATGCTTTTACACTCTGGGTGCATGCATGTGCATGCTCAAAATCCCAGTGGTATGGAGCAGTGGAGGAGAAGGGACTGCAGTTGTGACATGCCCCATTGGGGGTGCTTTTTCCCTGTTCTTTTCTCCCTCTCTTTCTCTCTTTGGCAGGCACATGCTTCCTCTGCCAAATATAATAATATATATTTTATGCTTTTATATTAATGCCTTCTAGATATATAATATTAAATAGAGCCTGTATTAATTTTAATCAAAATGATCAATATTATTGTTACTCATTTGGAGGAAATTATTTTGATTTTCATGGAAATGGCATCAAGAACACAGGTGGGACAACCACAACTCATCCACGTAGTTTTTACTCTACAAGGCTAGTCATTAAAAAGGGGTTAGAATGTTTAATGTAGATGACATACCCATTTAAAGAATGAATGGAATCAGTACTGAAATACCTAAGCAATTATAGTGACCTCCAAACCATTAATCTATATAGCAAAATGGCGATAGGGTGTTCTTATACTTCATTTACTATAATCTGGTCACTTAAGAGGAGAGCTTCTCGAAAAGTCATATCAGATTTCTAGTTATATTGGAATTTGGCCACAATAAATATTCTCATTAGTATTTTTGGACAAATTTAAAGAGTGATTTAATTTTTAATCAGGCAAAAATATGTTTAGTTATTCAAAATAACCAAAGCATTTATGCCACCTGTTTTTCACTGTGTCTATAGATAAAAGAGCTATGTCGTTTCAGGAGGTGGGTATTAATGTAATCTGTTTCACCATGTTCAACTGTTATGACACAAAAATTGAGACCTCTTCACAAAATGAGAGAAAACAAATGTATAACTTGCATTATGATGGAGTGGCTGAATCAATATGAGACTACACAAGAAAATGATAACTAAATTCTTTCTTCTCATTTTAGTAACTCTTAACCTGCACGTCCTCCCTCCAAATAATATGATTTAAGTAAACACCTTGTATTTGAACATTATTAGGGATTTTCAAAAGGAAATAAATTGACATAAATTAGTGCACATATTGTTTCAGAACCTAAAAATTCAAGACAATTGGGGCATTAAGTGAGCTAATGAGAAACCTCAACGGAAAAGAACATATAATAACATAGAGAGTCCTTACCTCTTAGTGCTTTTCATTTAACTTTTCTGCAGTTGATTGGGTTTTAGATTATGTAGTTTGATCTCCTCTGTCCTCATCATAAGGGTTGAGTGGGAATAGGTTAGGATTTGGAGAGAGATGTGTCTGAGTAGGGCTCTGGGAATCTACAACTATGACTATATTAACCAGCCAAATCTGAAGGCAATACTTCTGAGGGTAACACTAAATACCTGTACATTAACTAAGACATACAAAACCATGCAGTAATACAATAAAAGGAAGAAACATTGCTATCGTGTGAATTAAGCTTTTTTCTCTTTTCCACTATAGATTCCATATACACAGAACGCTACATGGGTCTCCCAACTCCAGAAGACAACCTTGGTCATTACAAGGTAAGAAATGAGGAACTATATCAATTTGATAACCTATTTATAACTCGTTTAAGAACGTTTTTTACATGTATCTATTCTAGAAAAAAAATATTTTTTAAAATTTCCAACATAATTCTTGTTGAAAAGAAATAACACAGGTGGTTTAGAGATACTCCAATAGCTTCCCCTACTATATTCTGCATAATTACAGTCTTTATCGTATGCTATATAGGTCACAATATGCATTCATTTGGAAATACAAAGCAACACCAGATAATTACTTTAATTATAAAAATTTCAGTTTAGAAAACATGTCAAATTCAACATATTCCTTTAGAGCCTAGAAGACTCCCTAAACCTTTAACTATACATTAAAATTTCTTATGATAGTATCATAATTATGATATAAATGTACACGCATATAATTTTCTTACTCATAGCCAAATATGTATAATTTTTTCACACAAGATTTGAGTAAAGCAGGTAAGAGTAGGTACAGTTGGACAGTCGGCTTAAAAGTACTGAACCCAAATTACCGCATAGCACCCAAAAGGCTGGTTGCCCAGTGGGGAGCCAGTGGGCAGGTTGCTGTACAGATGGGCTACAACATTGGAAGTATAAGTGGATGCAATTGGCATTGAAGGCCCCATGTGCTAGGGTGGGTGCCAGGGCAAAGCCAGAGCATTCAATTTTGTGTCACAGTGATTCAGCTGAAAGTGTTAGTGTAGTCCAAACCCTTCTAGCACCTAAATTGTTCCAGAACTTTCTGGTTCTAGTCATTGTGTTAGTTGGAAACAAACCAACCAACAGGAAAAGAAAACAACCCTGAAACTTAGAAATGACAAGGTAACTCATCTCTGATTTTTAAATTCTCTGAGAGATGTTCAAAAGTCTCCCTTGATGATGAATTAAAAAAAAAAAAAATTAGGAATCTAATTTCTCCTCATGTGTGCCACAGCTCTTAATACCTGGGCTTCGTATAAATACATCACTGTGAGCAGTATTTGTACTCTTTTGGTAAGATGCCATCATTATTACTATTAAATTCTGAAGTCATCTGATCAAAACACAATAATACTCAACGTTTCTAGTTTTGCACAGTAAATATAGGCAATTTACTTTTACCTGTTACTTTCAGCTTAATTAGCAAGGCCTGCCTGTGTGTTTTTAATCTGTTTTTCAGTCAGGAGAGAAAAGTAACAATCTGCGAAGTGAGATGCGCAAATCATCTTCCACTGCAAATCAGTTTCATAATCAGGCTGTTCCTGTTTCTGCCGATGGTCCCATCTGATACTTTGGACTCAATTCTTCCTACTCTTTCTCCTTCACATCCCATAAGCTGTGTTAGACATCCCTTTCCTTCTTCATAACTGCATTGCTGCTGACACATGACCTATCTCATTTTATAACAGTAACAGATTTGTCTACCTCAACTTGTCTTTCCACACTCCAGTCCCTTTCCCCACGGGCTAGGAGATTAACCACCACCCACACGTTCAAGGATCTTTCCTGTGCACGCAACCAAGCCAGTTTTCTCTCTTCAACCAGGTATGCAGCACCCATCTTACAACAGCCTAGGTTCTCTTTGAAGACTCACTGTTCTCGATCCTTTCTGGACTTCCAATTTCATACCTTTGCTTTCCCTCCCTTCTTCCCAGTATCATTTCCTCTCTATGTGCATCTGTTAGGAATCTTACACTGTCCAGTGGAATAGCATCTCTTTTCGAATTCCATAGTATTTTCTTATATATTGCCTAAAAGAAAAGTTTATTTATTTCATGAGAGAGAGACTGGCACCCTCGATAGGCTCCTCATGCTGCAATTTAGCCCCCAACCTCAGCCACCTTGGCTCACAGGCACATGTACATACCTTGTGTGTACAGGGGAGTCTCAGGACAACCAAATCTTTCCTATGTGGGTCCAGCTGTGCCACCATTATACCACTGTCCAGCTCCACCCTTGTAAATTTCTTTAAAAAAATATTATAGGATGTATGTGCTCACCAGAGAGAGAGGGAGAGAAGTATTCTCTGCACCGGGGTGGGATGGATGGCTATACCACAATCCCTTCTCCTCCATTCTCCTCTCAGGATTTTGGGCATGCGTGAACACGTGCCTAGTGTATTTTCCAAGCCACCAGGTCTGAGACTCAATCCTCAGGCTCAGCCATGTTGGGATGTAGCCACCGTAACCACCACACCACTGCCGGCCCCCTTTGTATAATATATCTCTTAATCTTCATTTAATTCTATCTTGAACTATATTCATTTTATACTGGATTTTTCCCTCTAAAGTATTGTTAGCTATTCCATGCTTCCCTCCACAACTGCAGTCTTTGGATTTGATTTCCCTGTATAAAGTATACACCTTAAAACATTTTGTGATTTATCTATTTAAAAACTTTTTGAAGGGAAACATTATTATACAACTCGAATTTTCTTGTTAATGACCCAACTAGAACACTTACATTTGATTGCTAAAGGGCTTTATTAGATATTCTCCTGGAAGCTCCTGATACACCAGATTTATACCGCCGAGGATCCTAAATCCTCGCTCTGGAACATGATGAATGAGTCCAAAAGTTCATTTAAAAAACTCCATTCTGAAGTCTTTATATCTAGACACATTGGGTTAAGTCCATGCCCTGATATCTAAGGAAGTCCATGGCACCTCCCCTCCTTCGTCAAGGAACACCCGACAACAGGATATTTACTCTTCCACCAGCCCTCCTTCCATAACTATATAGGGGAATTACGTGCAGTCTGCCATTTCAACCTGCATCCTTTTCCAGTCTTTCATATAGGCTTTTCACTCCCACACAGAACCCCCTCTTCCCCAACGCTACCCCCTCACTGTGGTGGCCATTGTCATCTCTCCCCTTAGGTGTTTGCTGCATGAGGTAGTCATGTAAATAGAAGTCACTTCCCACTGCCAATGGCAACACACGCACACTGGGTGCACAAAGTCACTCTTTCACTTTACTGCACAGATGGCACCCGAGGACTGTTTAATCCTTCCACGCCAGGAGTCGGGTTTTCTTGGCACAAAATTCATAGCTGGCAATGGACACATTAAAACTGCCAGTACCAGGGAGCTAAAGGTTCCCAATGTGTTACACAGAGGAATTATCTGGGAGGGTGATAGTTAAGGTGGGCAGGGGAAAATGAGGCAAATACATTAACTGAATTGTCTCCACAGTGGGAAGTTACTCCTCCCAATGTGGAGAACTGAATCTATGTGGAGAACTGAATCTAAGTGCCTATTTTTGGTGCACAGCAGGCTTTAGAATAAAGCTGCCCTCCTTTGTTTTTTAAATGAGCCTGTGCTTTTGTCTCTGGCAAGAATACATTCAAAGATTCTATTTTCCTCCAAGGCCCCAGCTGCCCCTCTGGACCCCATCTTTTACTTTTCTTTCCCAGGTTGTTTTCTGTTATCCATTCTCTCCCCCCACCCTTCCCTCTCTCCCTCCCTCCCACCCTCTTTGAAAAGACAAAGAAGACAATTCCTTAGAGGCTTTCACCACCCTGTGTATTTCAGTGGGTCAGAAGGAAATATTTTGAAAACAATTCACATTTAGTCTGGGCCAGCGATGCTTTCAGTACATTGAGGATGAGAAATGCCCAAAGTGTGAAATAAGTAAGGCCTTAATCTTTGCCCGTGTTTTCAGCTATAGAACCATCAAACTAATATAGTAGTAAGAATTATAGCCTTTGGAAGAGAATACGCATTTTTAATAAAACTCAAATGAGAAGTAGATTTATTATTAGGTCATTGATGACCTGGATTTGGAAGAATTTAGAGAAACCCACCTCACCAAGAGAAGCACATCTTGTGAAGTAAAGGTCCTACCTGCCATTGAGGGAATGGAATTAGAGGGACCATTTGAGTACAGGAGTGGATGCCACATGTGCATGTTCAGTATGTGCCCTGCTGGAAGCGAGTCTGCGCTCTGTTCCCTAAGGCATGTGCCAGGAGGATGCATCCAACCAGAAGATGCATCCTATGCTTTCAAAGCTACCGTGTAGATTAGGGGAGATTCAGAGACTGGGAATAGACGCAGTGCATTGACACAAGCTATGACTCCATAAAACTTTTTGGAAATAATCACCCACCTGCTGCCAAGGGGCAAAGAGGGAGAACTTTGAAAGTATATCAGGAACTCAAGGAGGAAAGACATTCCTCTTACTGAAAACCCAAGGAGCTGGTCCCAGAGCTCTCAAAGGGCAGCCAATGTGCAGTGGTAACAAGTCTTAGTTAATGGGTAATCTAGCTAGACGGAACGATCATTTCTGCAGTGAGTCTCCATCTACAGCAGACAGAAATGCTGACAGATTTGAGCAAAGGAATCCAATATCTAAAAGGATGACCCTCAAAGATGAGAACAATCAGCAAACAGCAACTGTAGCCATTCCTTGTGGAGGGGGTTCCTTATGTTGATGAATGTCTCTCACATAATCAGTTATGGGTCTTTTAGTCAAATAAGTAAAATATTAACATATGGTAGACTTTTATTTTCCCATTCAAGGTGTCTGATGTTTTAATTGTTCAGAAGTTTATTTCTAATAAGTGAGAAAAAAGCCCCAAAGTTTTGGAAGAGAGATGAAAAAGAGTAGGCAATAAAACATGAACTTGAACATTTCAGTGTTGCTAATGAGTTACTAAATGTGCTTGTGGCACCCAATAATTTTATACCTTAGGGATGTAGGGAGAGGAAGGGGAGTGGCGGTGAAGTTAGGGTTTATCTTCCCCCAACTTCTCTCAACCAGGGAGGATCCAGTCTCATTTATTTTCAGTCATGTATCAAGTGTTTCTATGGCCAGACACGATTCTAAGCCCTTTACATGGATCTTCAGATTTAATTCTCCCCCCAATATTCTAAAATAAACACTCTAAATTTCCATTTTACTGACACAAAAACTGAGGTACAAAAATGTTAACATACAGGTACTGAGGGTCAGTTAAGGGAAAAGGAGACTTATCTTAATCAGTCTCATTAGTTAGAGAGACAGAGAGGAAAGCATT